CTCTTAGAGAGCAAGCTTAGAGAAGGAGGAGGCTAGAGACACAAAAGGGGGAGTTCTTCATCAACAAGGAACATATTTCTTTCATGGAGTTAGCCCCTGAGGATTGGAGCAACATCACTATGAGTGGCTACACATCCTCTTGGGGCTAGAGTTAGCCCCAAGTATGCTTTCTATATCCTAATCTTGTGTATTATTGAGGGATTAGTGTTGTAATTAATGTTTTGACACTATGATATATATAGATCTTGATTGTTCAATGATTTATGTGGTTAAATGCTTTCAATTGATCATTTCATTCTATCCATATGTCTATGTATGTTAGAATAGATGTTCATGTGCTTGTCTCTAAATTTTGTGTTATTGATGCATGTCTATGTGTATTAATGCTATAGATTTAGAGATTGTCAAAATATAGTGCTTAATGGAATGCTGTTGTGATTTTCTTGATGGTTCATATTTACTCCTTGATGGATTGTGCCTCTCCCTTAGTTTATTTTCATGCTCGTAGTGTAGATGTAGTGTAGTTGTAGTGTAGTGTTAAATGGGAGGACAATATATGCTTGTTGTTTGATGATCCATGCTTTTGAATGCAAGTAGCATATGTCTCTAACCTTGTGTTGTATTTAGATTATGAGCTTAATGAAATGATTAATGACTTGTTTTGATCTATTGTGCCTTTCACATGTTGTTTAGACAATATGTGCTTCATTGCTTAGATATATTGTGCCTTTCACATGATGTTTAGACAATACATGCTTAACTAGTTATCCTTGCTTGTTGAATCAACCAAACACACACACACACCAATATTGCAACATACCATTTGCCCTCATTAATCACTTGTCAATGATATAGAAATGCATTGCTTGGTGGTGATCTCTAAACCCTAAGACTCTTCTCTCTCTTATTTGCTCTTAGTTGCATTCTTTTGTTATCACTTAGTTTAATTTAGTTGCTCTCTAGTCTAATCAACCAACCAACCAATTGTTTGATCACTCGACCTACTAACCCTAATAGCGATTCCATAACCTTGTTTGACCGTCACAATCCCTTGGGACGATTTCTACTCGCCCTAGCTATATTTATAGTGAAAGGTAGTAGTGGTTTCTATAAATGTAAAACTTGGCCCTCGCCTCAATGCACACTCTCTAAGCTTGTGGTAGGATGACGACGACGACCACCACCACCAAGCTTTATCCCCGTTACAACTAGATAACGCCTTAAGAACTTCCTCTTCAATAAAAGGAACCTCAAACCCGTCATTATCTAGCGAAGAAATTGAATTGAAATGCAACCCATCAAGTTTAGGTCTCCATTCCAAAGACTCAATATAAAGCTGCTGATAAAAAGAAACAATTCCCCTACACACCTCATCTTCTTTCCACAACTCTGTAACATTCACACGGATATGCCCAATGTGATTACATCTTCTATAGATGTTAGCAAGTCTGTGAAAGAATTTTGTATTACGGTCACCTTTTTTAAGCCACAGTGCCCGAGATTTCTGACGCCACGAAATCTCCTCTATAACAGCAATCTCCACAAAAATTGCTTGACAAGACGCTCTTCTAGAGCGTAAAGATTCCACGTCTTGCCCCAGCTCGTCAACACGGTCAAGTTCAGCAATGTCAGCCAAAACTCTATTCTTCTTCCATTCGAGATTCCCAAACACCTCTTTGTTCCATTTCTTAAGTTCAAATTTGAGAACCTGAAACTTCCTAGCTAAAACATAGCTAGGAGAACCTGTAAAAGATGCTTCCCCCTACCAAGACTGAACTTTCCTTTGAAAATCCTCAGATCTAAACCACATATTTTCAAAGTGAAAAGGCATAAGTCTGGATCTCATCCCTCCACAATCAATAACTAAGGGTATATGATCGGACGTTACCCTAACCAAAGCCGCCTGAGTAACATCCAGGAACTTTTTTTTCCTAATCCCCAGAAATCAGGAACCGATCCAACCTTGAGAAAATGATACCATTAGACCAAGTAAAAGCAGCCCCTTCCAATGGCAAATTAAGGAAACGGCCATCGTTGAAATCAGAAAACTGGGTCATCTCCAAAGACCACCTACCCCCAATAGATCTCTCAAACGGAGACCTAACAGAATTAAAATCTCCGCCTAAACACCAAGGCAATGACCACAATTCCTTAACAAAGCTGAGCTCTTCCCAAAAGGCTGGTCTATCACAATCAATAACAGGTCCATAAACTCCAGAAAAGACCTATTTGAAATTATCATCCTCCATCTGAAACACACATGACAAAGAATGGTGCCCTTTCCAGCTATTCGTTCTGGACAACCATCTTCATTCCCACAAAATAAGAATTCCGCCTGATGTGCCGGAAGCATTTAAAGTTTCCCATTCAACAAACCTTCCTCCACAGATACTCCTTACCACCTCGTCAGACATAGCAGCCATCTTGGTTTCTTGCAAGCATATAACATGAGCGTTCCACTGCCTCAAAGCAACCTTAACCACCCTTCTTTTATTGGGATCATTTAGACCACGGACATTCCATATAATAAGTCGTAGCTTCATTAAGAACCAAAAATGATCATCTCCTTACCTCTCCCCCATTTCCCACTTCTAGTCCTTCCCCTTTCTTTGGATACTCCATCCTTCCCCTCATAATTGACATTGGAAATAAGGTTCTTCATCTCCTGTTCCCCTTTCTATTGTGATCTATTTTTGCCAAGTTTATTGCTGTGATAAGTCTTTGTAATTTCATTTCCTGTCACAATAGCATAAAGAATGGACTGAGTACGATCAACATCACCCTCAGAAGAAACACCCAAAGCAGCACTAACCATACCAATATTGTCATTAACCTATTTCATGCCTAAATCATCAGTCGTTTCTGAGCAATCAGGGTGCACAACTGTCAGAGGTTCCATTAAATCAATGTTAGGAAAATCCATTTCCGTCCAAGGGTGAAAATCATGAGGACAAACCTGTTGCGAAGGAACCTGAACAGCAAACTCTTCCCCTTCACTCTATTCACCGTTCCCAGACACATTCAACTGTAAATCCATCTCTGTTCCAGCCTCCTTTGTAACAATCTTCATTAAATCAAGAACATTATTAGCTTCAGTTTCTGATGGTAAACAGCTTAGTCCTTTCAGAGCGATAAAAAGCCTAAGTTCTTAGATCAATGACACAGATAATCATCTGTTAGCTTGAAAAGCAAGTCCTTTCCAATACATACGGTCACTCCATTACAACATTCTCCACTGCCAACCAAGTTCATTGAAGACAATGACCCTTCCATCCGTGGAACAATGTCACCAGAACAATCCTTCTATTGAACAGAACTCTCTTCCACAAAACTAGCACCCCTTCTTAAAACCTCAGACGAAGTAGGAGAGGAGAAAGATTTATGAGGAAAAGCAATAGGATTCAAACCTGGAGTAGAAGCAGTAGGGCGTGCTACCCACTTTTGTTTTTCTTTGCGTGTCCATCTAGAGCCTTGCTGGCCGACAAATGCAGTCGGCGAATTTCGCTTTATTTTCTTCATCAGCGACCCATGCCGTAAAAAAGAAAAAGAGGAGGAATGGGCCTAAACCTGAACTTGGGCTTGTTCATTTAAGTCTGGCCCCATACCAGATTTTAGGTTAATAAAAAAATAAACGGATAAGGAGTTGGATCCATTTTTAAGAACCCTTCGTTTGGTGTGGACTGTTTAAGGCCCAAATCTATCCGAAAATGGTTTGGGCTTAAATAGTCCGTATTTAATAGGCCTATGATGCACCGTACGGCCTATATCACTTTTAGCCTAATCAGACTTACGGCCCAACCCGATCTCTTCACCAACCCTTATAGATAAGGATAAGGAAGGATCTGGATAAAGGCCTGAATGACCGCCACGTGCATCTTTCTGTTTGTCATCATCAACGCATTTAACCGGCACGTGACTACCACTTGATCTTCCTCCACATATTTCACCGTTCTTTGTACCTCTCTATCCTTCATCCATTACCGGATCTGCAACACCCCTTTATCCCCTTTGTTAAGATGTGACCCATCACTACTTTCAAGACTCTCCATCGAAGGAACCAACTCCAGCGAGATTTCTTCCCAAATCGCAACCTTATAACAAAAGGTGTCGTCGTTGATAAACACAAATGGCAGACAAACTGATCTAATTCTCACTGTGATTCGGACACTCTCGGTGTCCCTCGTTTCGTCAGCAACAATGTTCATGAAACCACCACACAAATCCCCTACTTCAACAAAAAGGGCGTGACACCATAAATGAAGAGGAAGACCAAACAGCTGGATCTGTTTAAGGCATTTGCCTTTGAGAACCTCACAACAACCAACTCTGAAAGACCACACATCGATCCATAGAGTTACAGAACCCCATTGCTGTCGGCTTTCCTTCAACACCTGCTAAGCCTCTGCCTGATAAGGGAACCTAAACAAAAGAAGTGAATTCGATAAGGGAGTAACTCCAACCCCACAAGACATATTCTATGCTTGAGCTGCCCATTCTTCAATCCGATCACACCCCCCAACTTCCTTGTCAAACAGGCCAACCAAACAAGATAAAAGAATCGATTTTCTCACTCCGACGGAGCCCCCGTCGATGTAGAGTGACGGCCCACAATGGGGAATTGCTGACTTCACATACCTCTAAGTGTAATTCTTGGAATCCTTGCAATTTATAAATAAGACTTCATAACAAACAAAACCACGATCACCCTCGAATCGCCCCTATTTACCATAAATACTTTACAAAGCCTATTTCAATTATTCTGGTCAGATATATAATTCTTATTCAATCAATTTGTTTTGTTTTATTAAAACATGGTCCAACATGTCATATCTCACTCTCTCTTGACACATCCTTGTTCGGTAATTATTTATCCTTGTAATTTTAATGCCTTCACATTTCACTGGTGTTATCTTGGGTTCATGAGCATGCACATTGTACATGACAATGTACTTTTGTGCTTTCTATACTTACAGGTATGCTTTGGCTTTTGCAGTGGCTATATGTCTCCTGAATATGCAATGGAAGGATTATTTTCGGAGAAATCTGATGTCTTCAGCTTTGCAGTCTTATTACTAGAGATCATTAGTAGTAAAAGGAACACCGGCTTTTATCACCATAAAACCCATCCGAACCTATTGGGTTATGTAAGCAGAAATTATTGGATCTTCGCTTTCATTATTTTAAAAAGATTATCCTTACATAAACAACCACACGTTTGTTTCAGGCATGGCAGTTGTGGAATGAGGGAAAAACAATGGAGTTGCTGGATTCAAGGACAGCAGACTCAATCAGCAGTCCCTCGCAAGTGATGAGATGCATTCATGTGGGTCTCCTATGTGCTCAAGAACAACCAAATGATAGGCCATCCATGGCTACAATAGTTTTCATTCTTTGCAATGACACAACTCTTCCTACTCTAAAACAACCTGCATTTATCTTAGAGAGAAGCACTAGTGAATCAAACTTGCCTTTGCCTAACTCCAATAATTACATTTTTATAACAAATGTTGAAGGGCGCTAACCTTTCCCCTCTTGATTCTTGCAAAATTTTTTTGAAAGTCACTGCATGTGGGGACTCAATATTCATTTTCCGGCTAAATGATCGCTTAGGGACCTTAGCGGACGATCTGGGCTGTCTCTCTCTTGGCTTAGGATCTTAATGCCCAAAAATTCTGTAAGTACAAGGGAAATATACAATGTATCGAATCTTGGTTGGCGTCTGCCGCTAGCCACAAGTCATCCCCATATTTTGGCGTATATTTGGATTCAGTCCTCCTAAGGCCTGACCTAGGATTTTAATACAGGTTTGTTTCAGAAAGATGTATTGTAAGATGTTATATCACTCCTATATTGTTAGACAAGAAACTTGTTGAATATAAGGTTTTGTTAGCGAAGTATATTATGTATACTGGTAACTGAACCAATTCAATGGAGCCACTTCACTTGGAAACTCTCACCTAATTCTAGAATTTCCTTAATCAACTTAAAAAAATTTGCACCTAATTTTTATACAATGTAGCATTGACATATAGAAGGAGAGAATAATCGTACCTTCTTTTGAATTGGTCCAGAAATGCATCTTTGATTCCAACAGAAGTCACCTCCTATCCTTTCCATTCTATTCAAAAATTGCTGCCAGATTCACAGCGTTCACCTGGAGATTGCCCAGCTTTGTTTTCCATTCCAACAATGACCAGATCGGTAATACCTAACTCATTCGCTCCCATTTGTGTTTGCGTCGTTCGGCAATGTTGAGTTGGGTTTGATTTCCCTTTTTTGGGCCTTTCATCGTGTTGGGCTAGGGAGCCTCTCAGGTCCCTTTAAGCACTGTTGGATTTTTGTTTTTCGGGTTGGGCTCCCTGGCCTCTTAGGTCCCCTTAAGCCTTGTTGAATTTTTGTTTCCCTGCTTGTGCGCTTAGAAGAGTGACATACCCGTATTCTGATACCGATGGTTGACAGATAATTGTAAATATTTGTCCGCTATTTTTTAAAGTGTATTTATAATTTAAAAAAAAAAATTAAATTTCTAACATATATCCCGTATTTTTCGGACACTTTATAACACATTTTCAATTGAATTTAAATATTAAAATACAACTTTTCCCACGTGAGTTTACAAAAAAACTTTAAGCATGGCTAACAATGTCATTCTTATATAAGATTAAGAACAACATCAAATCTATTATTTAACATGATTTTTCTGACTATTTCACCGTACTCTCTCATTCTCCAAAAGTCGTGGGAAGTGAGAACACCTAGTGGGGCTGCTGGTTCATTTTTGTGGATCATGTATGCATTCCTGACTTATATCTCTAAATTCTAATTTATTCCCGACAAAAGACTACTTATTAAATTATATCTATTGATGTCCTCCAAAGAAAAAAAAAACCAGTTTGAGCATTGTAGCATTTCTCAAAATTTATTCATTCATTTTGATTTTCTTAGTCGGTGTGGGAAGTTGGATTGTTAGAAGGAATCAAAATGTAGCAAACACTAGTAAGCCTAATGTTTTAATAACAAAAGTATTCTGCAAAAAACATTTTGTTGTTTTGTTTAATTAAGTTCAGTTCCATGTCACATCATGTATCTCTCTGCCAACAAATTTTTTCGGACGGAGTGAAAGATATGAATCTTCAACAAAGAACAAAAAACAACTTTGAAACCACAAAAGCTAGAAGAAAAAATTACAATGCAATATAATATATTATTACTAATTGGATGAGTTAATTATGCCCTCAATAATATACACATAGTAAACAAGAACTTAAAGAAACTAGCAGTATAAGAAAATTGTTTAAAATTAAACTTTTACCAAAATTTCAAAAAATATAGAATATGAAACCCTATAAAAAAAATACTAAATACCAAAATTCAAAACAATTCGAATTCGTTAGGCCACAAACAAATATTTCGTAAATATTCGAGTTCGTTCAGCCATGAACAGAATGGCTATTTAGATTATAATAAGGTTGGTCAACTTATTTAATGATCTAGTTTGATATCAAATCTATTCTTAAGGAGCCCCTTTCAATCCCTTGTGTTAGGCCCCCAATTCCCCTTTTCTTTTCTCTTTTTATGATTATTTTTAAGCTCAAGTTGGTGAAAAGCTTGACCAAGCCTCAAATTACTGCCAAAACTAATACGGAGTAGTTGTGGTATGATGCCTTTCATGGAACGACTTGAGAATGGGACAATCCAACAACTTAAATGGCAAGTTCTAATGAATATTAGAGATTATATAAACCTGTTCCCAGCAAAAGATAATAAACTAATAAGCATGTGAACTTGGTCTTGCTTCATTGTCATGGAAAACGAAAGAAGACTTCAATCTCAAAATTCAATTCAAACATAACTCCAATCAAACCAGAATACCGAACAAGTATTAGCCCTCTTTGAAAATGAGGTGATTCAGCCGCACCTTCCTGTACAACCTTCAGCATCCCCTCCTTAAGATTACGGTAATGACCTAATAAATAGAGCAATATATTTTAGTGCGAACTCACAGTCAATTGGATAGAAAAACATTTTCCTAAAAAAATATTTGCATTATTAAATTAGTAAAATGGTAAAATGCTGATGTAAACCATGATCAACCACGTGACCTACAAAACATACTAATATATATATATATATTGGTTAGAAGCTGTCTAGGAGGTACCCCGAATTTTCATTCACGACAGTCTCGCCTATTCTAAGCTAAAAAGTCTACTACTTGTATTTTTCATGAACTGGTTTTCTTTGAACAGGAAACAACTTATTTCACACACGCTACTCTTTTTCATTCTGGCAACAATAGCTACTCAATACAAATGATCAATTCCAACAAAAACTTAGCGTCAATTCTTTGGTTCCTCTTTTTCATTCACATCTCACAATTACTATCTTGCTGTTTAGCAATAGAAACCATTTCTAAAACCCAATACGTATTGGATGGTCAAACCTTAGTTTCAGAAGATGAGGAAGTCTTTGAGTTGGGCTTCTTTAGCCCTAATGCATCCCATGTCAGATATGTGGGCATATGGTACAGAGAACTCCCCGTTGAAAAAGTTGTATGGGTTGCAAACAGTGACAACCATTGATAGATGCATCTGGCGTTTTAGTGATCAGAAGTGATGGGAATTTGGTGCTGACCGATGACAGATCCAACACACTTTGGTCCACAAAAGCTTACTTCTGTTGCATCAAATGATACAGTTGCAGTACTTCGTGGTTCGGGAAATCTTGTTCTCATTGAAAACAAATCAAATGGAAGTGTCCTATGGGAAAGCTTCAGTCATCCATCAGATACTTTCTTGCTGGGCACGAAACTGGGACAGAACACCTAGACAGGGGAAAGTTTATTTTTAGCATCATGGAAGAATGACAAGGATCCATCACCTTGAAGTTTTGTTTTAGTTATGGAGCCTTGTGAACTGCCAGAAGGTGTGATCTTAAACGGTCAGAGAAATACTGGAGAAGTGGGCCGTGGAATGGGAGGAGCTTGATAGGAATTCCAGATACGGACACAAACTACCTTACAGGCTTTAACCTTATCAAGGATAATTAGGCAGGAACAATCTATTTTGTTTATGCTTTTTTCAATACATCATCACCGTTGATTTTGAGTTCTATGGGGGCTCTAATTCAAATGAACTGATGCAGAGACTAGGAAATGGGTAAATAATGTGATTGCACCCAATGGTCCCTGTGACATTTTTGGTACACGTGGCTCGTTTGGGATCTGTAATGATATGAACTCCCCCAATGTGCAACTGTAGAGGTTACGAACCAAAGTCTCCAGAAGAATGGCAAAGAGAAAATTGGACAGCTGGGTGTATAAGAAGAGTTGAAATACAGTGTGAGAGGAATTCGAGTATTGATGATAGCAAACCTGACGGTTTTATAAAGCTGACGGGAATAAAACCACCAGACTTCTCGGATTACTTCGATGCCGGTGACGCAATACAATGTGGTGATTTTTGCTTGAAGAAATTTTCTTGTGTTGCATATGCATATGTAAATGGAATTGGTTGTATGGTTTGGGAAGGACATCTGATTGATGTTAGGAAGTTCTCTTATGGTGGATCGGATCTATACCTTCGACTAGCATATTCTGAACTAGGTAAGTTCTTCGTTTCTTTTTTTTTTTTTTTCATTGTGGCAATTATGATGACTCCAACATTTTTCAATGGGATATTTGCAAAATCTTTTCCTAGGCTTAGCCCAGAAAAATTCATTTTGCTTGTGCCAACAACAACAAATTTATTGGAAGTTGGGTTGCTATGTCCATTTCAGATTTTCAAAGACAAACAGTACATTAGCAACTTTAACATTTTTATATTGATATTAAAAACTTCGTGTTGTTAAGGATGGACTTGAATGTAGCAATGTCTAATGAAAAATGCAGGTGAAAAGAGACGAATAAGGGGCTTTATCATTAAATCATTTCCACGATACTCGTCCTGGGTACTTTGGCATACATTTTATGCAGAGTGCAGACCGTACTAAGAGGTAATTATGATCATTAGTTTATAATTTGAAAATAAATTATTAGTATTTCGGTAATTGTTATATAATTTGGTGTCTAGAAATGTCACTCCTTGATTATTCATATTGAAAACCAGGTGCAAAGAAAAACATTAAGAAACTTTTTTCCAAAAGAGAAAGGAAAATGCCAGCAGATTCTCCGCAGGCATTTTTTACTCGAGATACTGTTTATCAAGAAGAAAGCTCAGATCTCCCAGTTTTCAACTTGGAAAAGATAGCAGCTGCTACAGATAACTTTTCTCTTGCAAATAAACTTGGTGAAGGGGGGGTTTGGTCCTGTTTACAAGGTACACTGTCCTGCCTCTCAACTTGTAACCAAAAGCATATCTAATATTTCTCCAGGTTATATATCATTCTCAGATTTTATGTTTTTTTCGTTAAATACATTTATATTGGATTAAACGATTCTTCCCTGGGTAAACTACCCAGTGGACAAGAGCTCGCTGTCAAAAGACTTTCAAAGAGCTCAGGGCAAGGCATAGAAGAGTTCAAGAA